TTTTGGAATGATAACTGGTTAGGAATTGGAAGCTTAAAGGAAAGATACCCAGATATGTTCGTTGTAGCACAAAAACCAGCATAAGACGGTAGCTGAAATGAGGAGTTGTCAAGGATGGGAAATAGCTCTAAGAAGACAGCTGAATGACTGGGAGATAATAAGACTAACTGACCTCTACAAAGAGCTGGAAGCATTTACAGGATTACAGGAAGGTTTGGATTCAATATGGTGGAAGAGGCACAACAGAGGGGTTTACCGAGTGAAGGATGCATATAAGATTTTGAATCATGATAATCAACAGGTAGACACATGGCCTTGGAAACATATATGGAAAACAAAGATTCCATACAAGGTAGCTTGCTTCACTTGGCTACTAGCAAAGGAGGCGGTTTTAACCCAGGATAATCTCATAAAAAGGGGAATATCTCTGTGTTCAAGATGTTTTCTGTGTGGGGAAAATGCAGAAACTGTCAACCATTTGTTTCTACATTGCAAGATTACAGACCAACTATGGAAAATCTTTATTAGTCTTAGGGGTATTTCATGGTCAATGCCATACAGGATTAAAGATGTCATTTATAGTTGGGAAGAAGCTGGAGCTGAAGCAACTAGCAGAGATAGATGGAGGACTGTTCCGGCTTGTATTTGGTGGACAGTCTGGAGAGAAAGGAACACTAGATGTTCTGAAGACAGAAGCAATCCACTGCAGAAGATCAAACTCAATTGTATTCTTCTATTTTGTTTTTGGTGCAAACAGATGTACACAGAAGATACATTGACAATCATAGACATACTAGGATCCTGCTAGGTTTTAAATTAGGATATCTTCAAATGCTCTCTATGTAAATTTGGTTTTCAGTGCAACCTATGTACTGATTTTTATAATATATACAATAGTTACCAATTCAAAAAAAAAACTGTTTTTTGAAGTTGTGGTTTGAGGGTGTATTTCAAAGTATATTTTTCTAAATAACTAAGATAGCTCTTCTTGTACGCAAAACACACTCACTTCCACAAAATTTTTGTCAAAGAAACTACAAATATCCAAACACGTCTCAGTTTCAATATGGTTGTTCTAAAAGATTAATGTCAAAAAAACCCTTTCCAAATGTTGTCCAAACTTCTAAGAAAAGAAGAAAACTAGGTCAGTGCAGAAGATATTTGGAGAAGGCTTGCCTTTGGTTCCAGAAGAACCTAATCTGGAAATGGTTCTGGGTGAAAGTTTTATGTTTGGATTACTGTTAGTTTGGAAGAATTGGTTCAAAGTCAGATTTTGCTTAGAAAAAGATTGTTAATCAGTTTTTGGTTTCCAAAACAAGATCAAGTTGGTTTCAGCTTTTCTCAAACCAAACAACACTTGGTTTTAGTTTTTGGAATGCTTTTTGAATCATTACCAAAACAACACATAGCTGCCAGCTGTCTGAAAAATTGAAGACCGAATAATGAGCACTTGAATCTAAATTGCATCACTAAATTTCGGTAACTAAAATTTTTCAATCTCCAAAATATTGAAAAAATATATTACTTGAATTATATACTGAAACATATTTGAATATCTCGTTTAATATTACTGCAAAACTGGACTTTGAAACAAACAATTCCCTCCTTAGTCCTTACCCGCTATAATGCTTAAAATATCTTTTGTAAGATAATAATATACAACTCAAACTGGAGAAGACCCTTCTAACAACGTTGGCATCCACCAACTAATTATATGCATTTCTCTTCCAATTGCCGTGTAATATAAAACGGCAAAAACAAGACATTCCAGATTTTCCTACATCTATACTTCTAACAGGAGAAATATTACTGATACTACTCATCCTAGTCCTAGATTCCTAATGCTAAAAGAAGAGCAACTACCAAAAGCTTTCACAAGTCATAAACAGGGGAGAAGAGGGATTGAGAGTAAAGAGACCATGCGATGACGGACCTGGAAAAGTGCTCATTTTCTGTTTCTTCAATATCCTCAGAACTTCCAGAAAGTGATGGAGTCTTTTCTTTCTCAGCAGCATTGTAAGGGCTCACACCTAAGCCCAGGCTAGCTTCAAAACTTCCAAAACAGAACCCAAGTTTTTCAGCCTCAGGCACATGAAGGTGGTTAGGGATAACAACATGCTGAATCTCTGAAATGTGTGATTTTTCTAGCTTCTGCTGCAATTCCGAAGTCCCTTCCTTTGATTCAACACTGACAGACGTAGGCTGCGGTTGTGTATCAACTTCAGCAGAAACTGTAGAAAGATCAGCTGAACTAGCAGATATAGCTTTACCCTGAGCAATATTATTGTGTGTAGGCTTTGGCTTCCATTCCTTACCGGGACCAGCTGCAGTGAAATAAAGAAGACAGGTGTTTAGCTTCAGCATGACAGTATGAATGAATTGCAAGTAAGAGACCCTAATTGCTACAATTCCGCTGAAATCAAATTTAACAAACAGCAACAGTATCATAACACTCTATGACTCTAAAGCCGCAAACAATGGAGTTATTGAGTCAACCGGAGACCAAGAGTAGTCAACATCTGGGAATGACATTTTTGGGTTTCCTTATTCCAGAAAAACAAAGAATAAGTTTAAACAAAAACGACACTTGTACAGTAAACCAGCAGACATAGAATGGACCAGGTACATGACTTCACTAGCAACAACCACCATTCTGTTTTGGAAAATTGAAGATTACTGATACACTAAGACCCGCAAGTAGGACTATAGACACAAGGAGGAGATACAAACAGAAAATGCAGATATATGAGAAATTTAGAAGAGAATCACAATTGCAAATGAGAATAAGAGATGATCACCAACTGGAAAAAAACAATCGCTCAGCACAAGAAAAAAATGGTTATGAAAAGGTTCAAAACTTCTTACCAAATACAAAAAGGTAAAGGTATAAACCGAAAAATGCAGATAAATGAGAAATTGAGAAGAAATCGCAATTGCAAATGAGAATAGGAGATGACCTTTTTATCTCTCAAGTTGGACCAACAAAAACACCAACTGGCAAAAAAAAGATCACTCTCAGCTCTAGAAAAAAATCAATATGAAAAGGTTCAAACTTCTCACTAAAACAAAAGGAGAAGGTACAGAAAGCATTGAGCACGTAATTCGAGGGCAAAAATGGAGTTCTTCAATCATCAAGTAAGAACCATTACAACAACAACAACCCAGTAAAGTCTCACTAAGTGGGGTAACAATTATAGTAGCAATATCAATTAAAAGAGTCTTTCATGGAGAGGGAGGGGGAAAGAAAACAATATACTAATGTGTAGAGTAGTCAACTTGTAAAGTACTATACCTTTTTGTGGGCCAACCAGGGGACGGTTGTTGTAATTAGATGAAGGCCTACTAAGAGAAGAAACACCCTGAGCCGATGAAGCACATTGTGAGAAATCTGGAAGCTGATTCTTTCCAGGCCCCTGGAATTTGCTTGACATTTTTACTTGCGGAGTCGAATTTCTAGAGTCAGAAACTGCTATACAGGCATAGGCAGAAACAAATACATAAGCTTCATTAACTGGACGAAAAATAAGTATGTCTTCCTAAAAACCAAAGAATGACAATCAAGTTCTCAGACAAATCTTCACAGGCTTACCAGTGGTTGCCTTGCTCCCGATCGAGTTGGTAGGGACATGATCAGATGACACATGCTGGCCACCAACTTCCCTTCTAATTGTGCCTACTGCACCAGGGGGTCGTAAATCATGAGATGGCAAAAGAACAGGATCTGATGCTGAAAAATAAGCTCCTGACGAAGGTGGTGAAGACAAGGAGGTTGAAGAGTTGCTGGAGTTAGGCATCGTCTGTCCAAGTGTATCCCTGGTTCCTACAGACACTCTGGGGCTTTTGCCCGCACCATGACTTGGAGTGTGCAGTGGTTCCTCCGACTTGACAGAGCCAGCACCTGCAGTGGCTTCAGATTGCTTAATCCCTCTGCCTGCTGATGCATGGGCATCATGTACAACACTATTACTCCCAAAAGCTACAGCACCAGGCCCATTGGCTCTGGAACTTGATGAGCTGCAAAAGAGCCAAAAAGGTTAGGTCACAGAAATATACAAACTATGTATAGGAAACAAAAACCATATTTTGTAATCTGAAGGGGTTTATAAGTGGCAATTCAAGGAGCACACATATGCTGTAATGCACAGACGGAGTAAAATCCAAAAACATCAATAACACCTTGAAGTATTATTCGCCTCAATAGTTGGTACGGAGGATGGCTTGACACTCTTGTCAGAAACTTGACTGGCTTCATTTTCCTTATCAGGTGCAGAGTTCCTTCGACCACCAGCATCTGACCAAACACACACATCAATTATGAGTGTATAGGAAAAGAGGGGCTCATAAGACTCAATCTGAAACATATAGTGAAAACTCTCCCAAGGTAAAGGAGAAGGTCTCAGTAAGTTATGTTAATTGTTCAAAGCCTACTCGCTGTCAAAAAGGCAGAATGTCAGTCCTCTTTGTTACCTTTTGACCAGTGCAACTTAAAAAAGTTAAAAGTGAGAATCAGTTATAATTTGCAGCAACTTATAATGTGCTTAAATATATCAGGCAAACAGTGTAAAACTGTCTGAGATTGTTGATTAGAAGCAGCATCAAGATCACAATAACATAAAGTGGTACTAATTTGGATTCTTAAAGATGCTTTTGTCATTTTGCACAAAGCGTGAACGAAATAAAAAAGGAAAGCAGGTCAGCAATTTAAAAAGCACGCAAGAATCATGTTATCACAAGAATGACAAATATGAAATCACAGGCAGCATAAGAGATCACAAATACAGAAAAATAACAACAAAATGGATGTTTACCAAGCGAAACATGGCGAGAAGTGAAGTTTCCCCGACTCCCCTTGTTTCCCCTTCCCTGCATAGCTGGTTTCCACTTTGGCTCAGCAGACTCCTTGTTCAAATTCTGCACAAAGACAAATCAAGTTGTAACAATTCAGGGACAGCATGTAAAAGGCCGAGGAAGCATGTCATACTAACACTCACATTTATTCGGTCGTTAAGAGAGAACATGTGAAGAAATTATAGCATCGTGCTGATATGAAAATTGAACTATAGCATGGAATTCTACAGGAAAAGAAACTCATTTGACATTCATGGGGTCCACAAGAGCAAAAAATGAACTAATACACACCAAGGTGCTCATGCCTACTTGCACATTCCGGATTTTATTGCATTAATCGGGTTTGTTATACCAAGTAGACATCCTCTGCACCATAAAATACATTATTTTTTTGCAAATCAGCCAGCTAAGTTGCAACTTAGATGACAGTGGGTAATAGTTTAGGCATTCACACATGCAGAACAGCATCATCTTAGCAAAGAGGTTTAATTGAGATGGTAAGTTACATTCTTTGTCGGGCAATAATTGCTCCACCACCCTAGGTTCAATTTTGATCCGTGAATCTGCACCAGCTAATATATCACTTGTCAATATGTATGTTCACCTCTTCGGACACCTAGAATCAGCTGAGGCCTTAATTAATGAATCCCCCACCCAGAAAACATAAATAAATTAATGGGGGAAAATTAACCTCTAAACCACTTTTATGAGAAATTTACAGGCAAATCAGGTCAACATTACTTTATGCCCTATGGGTCTTTGTGGAGAGTGTTTGTAAGCATGCAAAGTAGTAACTAACCATACCTCTCTTCTTCTGTCGCGTTTCCTTTTTACTTCATGGAATGTATCTGTAAATAACCCCTCAAATTAGATGAGTAAAGAGAAAATAAATTATATATTTCCATAGCTAGGAAGGAAAGGTAACAACAACAAAAGTCTAGCTGGGGCAGTATGTGTAGCTTTAAAAAGAACCAGTCTCAGAGAAATACAGAACACACAAAACAAGACCAATCTATACATTTATTTTTACGAGAAGGTTGCAAATTTCTAATTAGACTTGTTACCTTGAAACCCATAGGTTACTAAGTGCATTAAATCATTAAAAAGTCAGCAAGACAAGATAATGGAGCAAGCGAAATTTTCTGCTCCTATATATTGAAGGTTTGGATTTCTATGAAAGAATGTGTTGGATCTAACAGTCATAAATGTAATAAAGAAAACAAGAAAGAAGAACAGTTGACCCTCTTAATTGCTTAGTTACTATAAAATACAAAATTCATCGACAACTCCGCCGTGCACTAAATAGAGGATGCAGAGTGTGGCTAAACCTTCTCTATAACAAATTAACTGCAAAATGTTATCTTTGAACAAAAAATGTAGTTCAAAATGTTATCAGCACCAACCGGCTTACTTTTTTCTCCCTTTTTTTACATGTAGTTCGGACTGACTATGAATTCTTTGTCACCTTTCTGCTATAAAAAGTTTGTCTTTGACACAAATCAAGGGTCCTCCAAAGCTAGAGGTTTGCTCATCGTAACGGCATAAAAAAAAATCTTTTGGGAGGGGGAAGCAATCTCTGTTAACAAAAGGGAGGGAATAGTACAAAAACAATTTAAAGACCATGTTTTCACACACACGCGCGCGCATATATATATATATGGTCAAAACAATTTTAACAGCCTGATAAAGTCCACCATTGCAGCCCAATTCAGAACAGACCCAATTGAGGATGAGACACATGCAAATAAGGAAAATAAAAGAAGAGAGACATCAAAAATAACTCACTATAGAATATTCAGGAGAACAAATAGAATAAAAATCTGTCACCGGAACTCACTATATAGAGTAATCAAGACAGAAAAGGAATCACAGAGAAAAAAAACAAGATCAAACACCATATATACATAGCTAAAAAATATGTGTGTGAATAGAGAAGCATATATTTATCTGACCCTGAAAGAGGAGTTTTTGGGCAGTCTCATTGGGATCCATAGAGCATTCTTTGAGCATTGCATATATCTCATCCTCACTATGATTCCCAGTGATCTCTTTTATATTCTGAATCGTTTTCCGAACACTGCTCGGAATTGAAACCCTAGCCCCTCCAACAACAACTCCACTACTGTTGCTGCTACTCATCTTCACCACCCCTCCCCAATCACCTACACCACAAACAATTTTCTTTCTATATATATTTATATACCTCTTCTGTATCTATCTATCTATATATATTTTACTGTATCTCTATACGTTGAGAGAGAGAGGGAGGGAGGGAGGGAGGAGAGAAAGAGGGAAAAAAGAGTAATTGTATTTGGTGAAGGAAGAGAAGACTTAGGAGAAGGGTTTTGAATATGAATTTCACTCTCACTATTTATTGTTTTGTTTTTGTAATGTTTTGTTTTTGTCCACCGTGGAACAGTCCTACTTTCTTTTTTTCTTTTTTCTTTGTCTTTAATTTTTAAGAATTTTACTTTTTCGTTTGGAAAACGGCATAGAGAAGGGAGACAGAGAAATTGAATCATATTGCTATGAAATGCCTATTTCAATTTAGATGAGGCAGTTTGATTCGATATAGAGTTTAAGAAAGAAAAAAAAAATTAAAATTTATGGTCATAAAAACTTGAAGGGTAAAAGCTTTTTGGGGCCATGAGCTTTGTGTGGTTATAAAACTTTTCATTAAGAGTAAAATAGGTAAAATGAATAGTTTAAAGTTGAATTATTGCTACATTTAGAAATATGTCATTTATTTTGAAACAACTAATAAGGAAAGTAGCTCGTCTAATTTGAAATGTATAAAGTATGTAATTGCAATTATTAGGGGTAATAACTAGTGGTAAGTATCTTGAGTTTAAATTTTGAAAATAGAGTCAATTTTTGATTAAAAATGAGATTTCTCACCTCAATTTTAAATTCCAAAATAAATATCGAACGTCAAATTAAAAACATAAAATACTTAAATAGTTATAAGCTCGAGTAAAAGGATCTACGGATATTTCACTATTTATTATTTGTTATTTTATTTTCTTCAATGTTATAATACTTAGTTTTCTTCTTTAGTTTAAACCCTTTTACTTTACTAGTTTTTTCTCGTTACTTATTTTTGTCCTTTACTAGTTGGGTGACTAATATATCATAATCCAAGTTGCTGTTCACACACTGCTAACCCAGTCAAGTCAAATTATATAGTTCACCTATATTAAACGTGTGATTCTTGTATTTTGTGATTTTTTATTGTAAGAAATTAATTGCAAAAAAAATAAAGCAAATTAAATGAAAATCAATATCAAAAGCATTATCTGTCATGTATGGAGATCGATTTGCAACAATCAGAAATAATGAAAAAAATGAGGATTCAATAGTTGTCATTGTATTGGGAAAAATTGAGTTTACATATTATTAAAGTGATGTAAAGATGACGTGTCATGACACATAGATTGGTCAAAGAGTTACAATTGGCAAAGAGGCACGAGTTGCAACAGATACGAGCAGAGGCGAAGGAAGAGGCACGAGCGGTTATCCAAAAGACTCAGCGCTCGTACTTATTTAAGTCCAAGAATCAAGGAAAATGAATCTGACACTACATGGGAGTACATATACAGTATTTAATGAGCCTTAAATACTAAAAATGTTAGAGAATCTGTATTAAATAAAATGATTACGTAACGTAGCATTTAATATCTTTAATTGTCCATAATGGCCTTATTATGACAAAGGTAAAACGCATATCTCCAAAATAGCTATAAAAGGGAGAGAACGGATCAATTGTAGGGACACAAAATATTATCTGAATATATAGATTTACTTGCTTATCTTCTAATTATCTTATTGCTAGCCAAATTATTTTCTTTCATATATTCTTTTGATTATCAGTAACCCGAGTTCTTCTAAATTAAAGCTTTGACCGAAATCCCATTTTTTGGTTAAACAGTCATATACTTTTATAATTAGATTATGTGACAACTCGAATCAAATGAAAATTCAGATAATCGAAATGTAATTCTTAACATTTAATTTTTATTAAACTACCAAATAAGTAACAACAACAACTCAGTAGAATCTTACTAGTGGGGTATCGGGAAGGTAAAGTATACGCAGACCTTACCCCTACCCCGGAGGGATAGAGAGGTTGTTTCCAGGAAACCATCGGCTCAAAGACAATAGATATGTAACAACAACAGAAACCAGAAAAATAGGTAAAAATAGCACGATATAGCCAGTTTTCGGACTAGTCATTCAAAAATAGCAGCGTTTACGAAGTCAATAAAAAATAGCCACTATTTTGCTGCAACGGAGACCGGTCCAGCATAATATACTGGAGTTCGGTGCACTTGTGTATGAACTCCAGCATATTATGCTAGACCGATATACTTTGCTGACTCCAATATAATATACTGGAGACTGGAGCACCGGTGCTCCAAACTTCAGTATATTATACTGGACAATTATACTTGCTGGAACTCCAGTATATTATGCTAGAGTTCTAATGTACTTATGCTAGAACTCCATCATATTATGCTGGAGTTCCATCATACTTATCCTGAAACTCCAGTATAATATGTTGGAGTTCAAGTATACTTATGCTGGAACTTCAGGATAATATACTGGTGTATTTTTCGGGTTTTGAACAGTGTTTTCGCTCAAATTTATCTTAACATGAAAAGTGCCTAAATTTCGATTACTTTTGAATATGAGCTATTTTTGAACGACCAATTGTAAATCTGGCTATTTTTGAATTTCTCCCGAAAAATAGCATCAGCATCGTAAAAAATAGCAAATAAATGGAAAGGCCAAAACAGTATGAAACACAACAAAAACCATTAGCAGTCCTAGACAATTTTTTCCTCAGTCAATCTGGAAATTTTTCCTTTTCTAAAAAAAGGTTTTAAAATTTATTTTCAGAATTGATGGACCCATTAATAAACAAAAGGGGGGAAAATCGGGATGGCTCTTTATTGATATTTTGTCAAATTTAATTTGATGACTAAAAGATCCCCAATTATAGTTTGCATAACAGTAACATAATTTTAGCTCTAGTAATCCACTTTTGTCACATTGAATTTGCTTCGCTATTTGCTCTTTTAAGTTTTTTTTTTTTAATGTAAAGGAGTTAATATTAATAACTAAGCATTCCAAATATTACAAGTTAATGTCTGTGCCTTGCAAGGCATCTAAGTTACCTAAAGCAACCAGCTTCAAACATACACTACTACAAACATATTTAATAGAAGAAAAACCCTCCAGATCCTATTGATACTGTTGTATCGCCGTCTTCGGTGGAGTTGCCAAAAAGATGATTTTATTTATGCTGGACTGTGTTATGGCCATTTTTGCCAAGGCATGGGCTACCATGTTTCCTTGCCTGAAGCTATGCCTTAGTACCACCTTGCCCTTCCTCCTTGTTTGTTGCATCAACCACCTGTATTCATAGATTAATTTGGTGTAAGTAAGGTGGTCATTAGCTAGCATATTAATAGTCTCTGATGCATCTGTCTCAATCTCCACCGACAGTAAATTGTGCTCATTATAATTTGTAGACATTCTCTCAAGGCTTGAAGCTCCACTTGTGTTGCTGATAGTGTTGGAACCTTCGTATGAAACCATAGTATTTGCTCTTTTAAGTTGAAATTGTGGTTCTAAAAATTTTTGTTCGAGAAGCTCGTTTGGACATAAAAAAAAATTCCTTTTTTTCAAAAAAAATAATTTTTTTTCGAAATCAGCATTTGTTCATAAAATTTTCAATTTTCACTTGAAGATGCATTTTGAAAATTTTCGGAAATTTAAGTGGGCGTGTGGACATAAGAATTGTAAAATTCCAATATAGGGTGAAAAAAATTTTCAAGTAAAAATGGCATTTGAAATTTAGAGTGGTGTTTGGACATGAATATAATTTTGGGTTGTTTTTGAAGTTTTATGAGTGATTTGAGTGAAAATTTTGAAAAACAATTTTTTGGAGTTTTTCAAATTTTCGAAAATTTCCAAAATGCATCTTCAAGCGAAAATTGAATATTTTATGAACAAATGCTAATTTCGAAAAAGTGAAAAATTTTTGAAAAAAAGGGAATTTTTTTTATGTCCAAACGGGCTCTAAAAAACTCCAAAAAGCTGCTTTCAAAATTTTTCACTCAAATCACTCACACAACTTCAAAAATAGCCCAAACTGAAATTTATATCCAAACATAACTCCAAATTTCAAATACCATTTCATCATTTTTTGGAATTTTATAATTCTTATGTCCAAACGCCTGCTAAATAGTTTACATGTTCTTGCATGTATGATACTTGGAGCTTTGTGGGGGCAAGAACTATTAATAGGTGTCCACGTGGGTTCTCACTTGGCAAGTTATATAGGTGGATGGGTTGCTTAGAGATGGCATGATCAAATATTGTCTCACCTTTTCTATCATAATTTTCAAAAGGTCATTAAAAGGAAAATTCGAAAAAGAACAAAGATGCAGAATTGCAGATTGGAATCTGAGTGCTAATCTGCAAATAGAGCAGCACACAATGTGTATGGATCTGTACACTTTTTTCATCATTCGTGTAATGGTGCAACTTTTGCATATTCTATGTGAGAATTCCTATAATTTTCAATGATGATATCTTTAAGAACATTATCTTTCAAGTGGTATATTAGTAACTTATTAAAAATTTAGTATTTTCAAATCCAAACATATGGTATTAAACAATTTCTTTTACTAAACACGCACTTCACTCTGGAAAATTTAAGTTGATCTTAATAAAAGTCAACTAGGTAATTCCTATAATTTTAATGATGATATCTTCGAGAACATTATCTTTCAAGCAGTATATTAGTAACTTATTAAAAATGTATTATTTTCAAATCCAAACATATGGTATTACACAATTTCTTTTACTAAACACGCACTTTATTCTGGAAAATTTAAGTTGATTTTAATAAAAGTCGACTAGGTATTATAGATCTTATGACAACGGTTGAATATTCATTATTCGTTCAAATAAAAATTTAGATAACCAAAATATAGTTCTTGAACTATGACCAACAATACATTTGTGCCCAAAGTTACAATTTCTTAATATTATTTATCGGATACATATTGCAGACAATAAATTGCGTCGAGAAAATAAAATCAAGATCGAAAAAATATCGCAACAATCATAGTATTTTATTTCGAATATTTGAGTGTTACAATCTCTATGAATCTTCTGATTTTACTTTTCCAATTATAAATAAATCCAAGGGCCTTTGAGCTTGATCTTGAATTTTAATTTGATTTATCCATCGCGAGCACTTTGATTGTTGCCACGAATTTTATCACGAACAAGTAGCCTTGATCTTGAACGCCTT